GAGTATGAAATAGTATAAAATGGTATTAAAAAGCGAAATCTTAAAAAATTTAAATAGTACCGGTTGCCAGTTCACAGTCGATATGTGTATGTTAGTTAGGTTGAAAAGTTAATTAACTCTGTAATTGCGGTTATTTTTTAAACCTCGAATTCAACTGCGTCAAAATGTGATTGTCAAGATGTTATTCTCGTTATGTGGAGCTTATATTTAAACCCATATTTTTATTCCTGTATCGTCGACTCACGTGTTAAAGGTGCCGTGTGGACAGTCCCATATTTTTTTAAATATTAGACAACATCATTTAGGACGTAATACGTAGCGATCAAAATTACAGTATTAAAGAATGCAAGAATATCCTCTACGAATAAGTAGGTATATAAATAAATATTTTTGTAACAAACACATGTCAATTTTCGGTGGCAATACATAGAGTAAATAGATAATAGAAATACAAAGGTGCTATACGTATTTAGATATTATTTTAAAATTGTTAATCAATTATTCTAGACATATCTATGGATATGCCGGTCAACATGCTTGTAAGTGAAGAGGTCTTCACGTAGGCCCCATTCAGTATTCAACATGTTGGTGGAGCTGTTGACTCGCTCACCTCCCGTTGTGCATTGCACAACTAACGGTTGCCACCGCTAAGCCGTTGACTCTAAAGTCAATACCAAATTTTCGCTTCGACAGTGGCTTTTAAGGAACAAAAGTAGATAAAAAATGATAACGTTTCGACATAACGAGAATAAGTAAGTAAGCACGACAACAATGTCGGTTATGTATTACCAGTATAAGCTGATAAATGTCCTAAATCCATCTCATCAGTAGAAACCATCGATGGTTTCTAGATAAGTACTGTTTACAACTGTCACTTTGTAACCTGTGGCACTGTACTGCTACCTAAAAATATACAATCCTCCAAGGTTGTTACTATTTTACAAACATCGAGTGTATAACCAGAAATAGAGACGAAGTGTCATTTAATTTGTTTGGAAACTACTTTGCCAAATCATTATGGTAACAACTGCGCTCCGATTGGCCGATTTGCTGTTTTTTCCACACCACGTACCGAATGGAACAGTCCCCTATTGTTAGAGGTATTATCTTTATTACAATAAATACAGAATATTTTTGGAATATATGGAGACATACATACAGGTCAGTTGTTGGCGCTGTACTATTTCAGCTTTCTAATTTGTGATTTGAGCGTAAATGAGACTTGATATTTAAAAGTGATATAAGGCCCATTTGCCTGATGAGTTGCCAGGGATGGATAGCCCTTATGTCGTCTCTATTTCTGGTTATATAGTCGATTGTAGAAACAGTATTAAGATCTTAAGTCGAGTATCTTTATTAATAAATATCATTTCAGTGCTTGTGTACTTATTGATTACTTTCATTAAGACGACCTCGCGCAGTGGGCGCTCGATGAGGAGGCCCCGAGTTGGCTCCCGGTATGACCAATTTAGAATCGTTAATTTTCTAAATACATTGCTTGAGATGCGGGCGTTTCAAGTGGTCTTGTATAGGATTTTTCAACAAGAACTTTAACAATAAATTTATTGTATTAAAATTAAGGTTTGGCAATTATGAATGAAAAATTATATCTGATAAATGTCCACCACGACCACAGTTACAGATGTCGATTTTTACATCAAAGTTTTTAATCACTTTTTGACAAAATGGTGGGTCTATTTCGTTAATCACTGGCTGCAATCGATTCAATTGGCTCCGTATAGACTATCTTCTACATAACCCCAGAAAAAATAATCCAGCGGTGCTAAATCACATAATCGAGCTGGCCACTTAACAGCTGAATTTCGTGAAATTATGCGATCGGAAATTTGGTTTGCAATAAATTCATTGTTTCGGTGGTTGTGTGACTTGTGGCACCATCTTGTTAAAACCAAATGTTAGTGATATCCATATCATCAATTTTTATTGAGTTTTCAACATCTCTCGATAGCGTAATCCATATCGTAACCGCATTTCGAAAAACAAAAACGCCCAATGCCAACGGCACAAGTTACACAGCTACCGAAACAATGAAGTTATTGCATAGGGTTATTAGATATGTGTAGGGTTATTTGTAAATTACCAACAACCTTGCAGGACTACACTACTAACATCATAAAATAACAACTTGTTTCATGACTTTTGGCAAAACAAAATAAATTTACTAAACTTAAACTTCCAACGATCTAAGGTATTTTTTCTAAGTGTTCTAAATTTGTATTAATAATTATAACAAACTAGTGGAGTAATTTCACTAAAAAATATTTAATATCATTGTGGTGCAACATTGACAGCGACATCTCTAGCTGGTAGCTGTAAAGGTGCCTAACTGGGTGACGAAATGCTTTCATAGATTTCTCATAGATGGCGCTACGGCTCAAAAGTAGTTGAAAACCAGATACAAAGACCCGATAACAAGCACATTAAAGAATTCGTGAAGTCCGCTGGTTCGTTCCGTGGCTTTATTGGATAGCGTCTGGCACGGATAGCTAGAATACGTCGTTTCGAATCCGGCCGGGTCGAAGGAATTTCTACTAAGTGTTCGATCTTGGTATTAATAATTATAACTAGTGGAGTAATTTGACAAAAAATAATTGATTATTATGGTGGTGAAGTTCCCAACTTCCATGTTTTTATTGTAATAAATCTGACACTTTTTAGTATCTGTATCTGGCAGTAAGGTAGCAATTTCAAACGCGCGAGCATCCTCTCTGACGACCGTTTTGCATCGGTCTGGTGTATACGCAAACACTTTCTTTTGTTGATTGAACGATCTATTTAAATATTTTTATACGAAAGTAAAACTGGTGAATTATTAAAAGCATGAAACAAAAGTTGTTCTTTATAATGTTAGTAATATAGTCTTACGGGTGTGTTACAAATAATCCTGTATGGAAAATGTAGACATACACGATTAGTGGTGAATAGAGGTGCGCGTTTATACGAAAAGCATTTAAAAAGTCTGCTTTTTAAAGTAAGCACGCTTTTCATTTTAAGCGTAAACGTTGGTCACTGGTCAGTCTATGCGCTTAAATGTTTTCCTAAACGACTTTTTAACCGTCAAACTAAAGAACGTTTATGTGAAAAGCGCTTTTACAAGCACGGTTTTTAAACATGCGTTTTAACCTCAAAAAAATTCTCAAAACAAATAGCAGTTTTTTCCATTTCAACGGTTAACAACTACAAACAATAACAAACAAACAAAAATAAAAAAACTATGTTTTTGAACGCTTTTAAACGCCAATGAACAAAATGTTAACATAATAATGTTATGTCATAAATAAAAATATAACTCGTTTTTTTTTTTTCAAAAAACTTATCTTAAAACCTTTAGTGGTATACTCTTGAGTATCGCTATCAATACAACGTTGCAAGCTTTTTTTAACATAAAAGTCTATGCGCGTAAACGTTTTCTAAAGGATTTTGGCAGCTTCAAACTAAAAAGCGTTTAAAAAAGCATAACGTTTAAACGTTTAAAAAAATGAGCACTTTTCCCATCTCTAGTGGTGAATATGCTTAACATGTTGCCATGTTACTATAAAAATATTAACTAATTGTATAGCAGCTTATATACGCCCCGCTGGCGGGCATGGGTCACCTCTGTATAGAGTAATTATGTAATTATAATATTATTAATGAATGTAGAATAATTGTGTAAAATTATATAGAAGATAAATATTATTATTGTTATTTTTTAATGTATGTTTTCGGTTAATATAAGTCTCCGTAACTGAAATGTTATTACATTTTATTATTTACATGTAACATGTTCTATGCATTAAATGTAGTGAACATTTCTTGAATATAAAAATGAAAATATTTTTTTTATTACGAATATCAGTTTTTTAATTTCAAATACTGTTGTATTATTTCCGGTGGTTGTTGGTCATGAAAAATAGCGCCCCGTAAAAGTAGGTTGCTTGCTGTATATTTGTGAAAGTCGTGCTGTCCCTATTGTACTTCGAGGAATGGCCCATTTCGATGGAGAGTTACATACACGCAAGAACTAAAATCTCAAATGTTATACAAGATTCGCAAGTAACTTAATAGCCTCCTCGATTGTTTACACAGAGATAAATATAGTAAGGAGATTAATTTTTTCTTTTTTTTTAGATTTCTATAAACACAATCTCGTATGACATTTTTTCTATACGAGTATCGTACATATCAATTCGAACCGTTTTGAGTGCGAGAATTGCTCGACTTCAGTGATTACTCTAGTATTGACTACGGATAGATCAAACTTTTTTTTTTTCTAATTATTTATACAAAGATCTCGAAAGAGAGATTAGAACCAACGTCTTCCAGCATACCGTGACAGACGCTTTGCTAACTAAGCCACGGAACGAACTAGCGGATCTAACGAATTTTTCGTAGCCGCCATCTGTAAGAAATCTATGAAAGTTTTTCTTCACTCAGCCAGGTACCTTTATAGCTACCAGCAGCTAATTAGAGATGTCGTTTTAATAATTTGTAAGTTGATTGAATGTCAGGTTTGACAACCATGTCATGGTTGTCAAACCTGACATTCAATTATTTTTGTACAATTACTCTTTTGTATTAATACTTCTTTATTATTCTTTTTGCTTTAAAGTTCTGTTTACACGGAGATGTTTAATATTCAAAGGCGAGGTGATTGTCACTCACATGGAAGGGCAATAATAGCCAATGTATAGACGAGGAAAGTTTTTTATATTCCTTCGATAATCATATCTTCGAGACGGGAAACTCTCGTCATCTAAATGAGCCTTTATTCATCGGATTCAGATGCTTTCTCCATATATTTAAGACAATTAGTATTAAGCCGAACTGTTATGTAGTCGATTAGTGCTTCCAGTTATTTTATATGCAAAAGTGAAAAATAAAAATCCAAAACTTTGCCAAAACTTTATTACAGAAAGGTTGGTACCTACAAAAATAAATGCTAAATAATAACATAGATAATTATTTTCCATTAATTCCAATATTAATTATTAATTAAACTATAACATAATCGTAGAATGATGATAATATTATATATTAAATTGTGCATTATAGTAGTGTTGTAACCCAATAGCAAAACTATCGATAGTCTGTCAATAGTGTTGAGAAAAAATAACAATATCGATATCATAAACTGACAAACACTATTGATTATTACAAAGATTGATGAATGCAAGTGAAGCAAGAGTCGTTTGCCAGGATCTTACAAACTGGTGATCTATAGTGTCTGCCTAGCCAATGGGAATTCAAAGGCATGAGGCGCTTACTGATCGATTATACATATATAAGCAATACTATGCATAATATAGATGGGTTTATAGGGCGCGTTCAAATCAGCCGCTGTTAGTTAGTTAGTGTGTTAGTCACTTTTCATACGCTGCAGCGCGGCTAACAGCGGCTAATTTGAACGCGTCCTTATAGTGCATTCGCGTTAAAAATGTGTTCGAAATTTAAATTGACAAATCACAAAGCTTTAGTATGACGTGATGTGCAGTACGAAATTCGAACTGACCAATAACAGTACCGCACTTTAACGTGAATAGACTTTAGTTTGTGATTTTTTTATGTACATAAGCTAACATGTTTAGGTGCTACCAACGCGAACTGTCGCAGCGACACCTGATACTTACGACTTCAGCATTGACTTCTGTGGACTAGTTCATTACATCGCCATTACAGGCGTCATCGTGTGAGAACCGCCTTGGAGACAAATTAACAAGAAAAAAAAAACGCTGCTGAACTAACGCGCGCGTAATCTCGTGCGGTTATTGCGCCTAAACGGCTGTCTAAGCCAATTATTATTTAAGGGGTGTCAGCCAATGTGTGATTGGGCACAAACTGCAACGGGTGAACCAGCAACCCTGCCTGCTTCACACTCGAGCACACTTGCAAGGGAGTCTTCGTCTTTTTGCCGCTCCAATGGGCACTCAGGCGGGCACTGCGTCTGACCGGGGTCACAGTGTACTTGGCCGGTTCTTGGGACTGTCGGCTTCGGAAAAAAGCGGGTATTAGTATTTTTAACAAGGGTAAATATATGAGTGGAGACGATATCTATGGTTGTTAAATTAAATAGTATTTTTTTAATGGGACAGTATGGGGGCATCCGAAACCACAGATGATACATCTGATAATCCCGATGCAATTAACGATCATTTTCTAAATATCCCTGATGACAACTCTGTAAACGATGAGGTTCTTTCTTTTTATGACATACACAGGTTCGGTAGTTCTAACTTTGATTTAACTATTGTTGATGAAGACACGATATCCAAAATTATGCTTGGGATCAATTCTAATGGTGTGAGATGTGATGAAATTACTGTTGACATGGTTCTATTAACTCTACCTCACACAATTAAAGTTATCCACAAGATTTAAAGGACTTAAGGCCAATAAGCATTTTGCCATATCTTTGTAAAATATTGGAGTAGGTGGTTAGTTTATAATTAAATGGTTACTTGGAGTGTAACAATATACTTCCTGAGTACCAATCTGGTTTTAGAAAAGGACATAGCACTAATACAGCTCTTCTTGGTGTTATAGATGAAGTACTCGTGGCTCAAGATTCTGGTAGAGGTACAGTTCTGGTTCTTCTGGACTATTCTAGGGCATTTGACTCAATCAATATCAATTTATTGCTGTCAAAAAAAAGTTACTATGGCTTTAAGAGTACGGCCCGGGACTGGTTCCAAAGTTATATTTCTGCTCGCACTCAGCAATTTACATTGACTAGACGGTAGCTTTATGACGTCGACTTGTACGCAAGTAAACAGAGAAGTGCCCCATGGATCTATTTTGGGTCCTCTCTTATTCATTTTATATACATCTGATATCGTGAGCTGTTTTAGGTATTGCCGGTACCATCTTTATGCTGATGACTTACAGTTATACCTTTCTTTCTTTCCAAAGAATACCGCTGACGCCATCGCTAAGATCAATGATGACTTAAACCGTGTTACTGCATGGTCGGGTAATAAGTCTCTTGTATTGAACCCCACTAAGTCCAAATTCATAATTATGGGTTCCAAGAAACAGATTCAAGTTACAGAATTACATTTGCCCCAATTGAAGGTTTTGGGTGGATGTATTGAGTTGGTATCGGAGGTTCAGAATTTGGGTGTCATTATGGACAGTCGACTGCGCTTTGAGCAGCATTTAGCCAAAGTAGTACAGAACTGTCTTTTTAGGTTAAAGATTATTTAAAACATTCGTAGCTTCTTAAGTCTGGACTTACGCATTCACTTATGCGAATCTCTTTATACTCTCCAAACTTAATTACTGTATCGCTGCCCTCGGTCCGTGTCTTTAGGCAAGAACGCATAGACTACTGCAACGAGTGCAAAATACATGTGCACATTTCTGTTTTTCAATACCACCTCGAAGTCATGTGACACCTTTTTTAAATAAGTCTGACATGCTTGCGATGGGTAGGCGCGCTTTAAATTGCATCTGCCTGGATTGTTGTTTGATGTTGTTCAGTCTCACGTACCTTATTATTTGTATGAGAAACTCACTTGGTCATCCACAGTAAACTCTTGCATTGGAGCAAGGTTGACAAGGGTGTTTTTGCATGTAACCTCCCGGCATAGTACCGCTACATTTAGAGGGAGTTTCCGATACTTAGCCACTCGTTGTTGGAACAATATTCCTCCTGCTATCCGTAACAGCGTCACAAAAAGAACTTTCAAGCAGAAGCTGCAAGGGTGTCTTTTAAATATGCAAAAATTGGAAATGTGAGTGGAATGAAATTAAATTGGATTGAGTTAAATTGAATTGGAATGAATTGAATTGGTTAGAACTTGAATTGAATTAAAATGGTTTTGTTTTGGGTTTTCACGAGTGGCGTTCCTGTCCCTATAGGGTCCTGGCAGAATACCAGTATCGAAGCCGCGTCATATATTCTGAGTCAGCGCCTTTTCATTGCCATAACTTCCAAGGGAGATATTAGTAGAATATATTAATGTATTACGTCTAAGTTAATGTCTGTATCATGTGTCTATGTATGTATTTGTCATGGTGGTGAATAAACATTTTATCTATCTTTCTTTGTACAAGGAAATTATCTTAGGAACCATCAAGTCTTTTTTAGTGGAAACAATTTAGGCATAGTAAATGTTTTGGTCAAGCGTGAGTTTTATTAAATTTGACCAACTTCTGCTGGTCAATTTTTTTCTTCTGATACAATAACAAACTGAGCATTAAAAAAATACTCAATTTTATTCATTTTGTATGAAGACATATTTTTATGAAATTTGACCACTTTTTTCGTCCAATACAATGAAATGAACTACCTTATGAAACAGAGTCGATCAGCACTAAAAAAAAATGTTGGTCAATTGTATTCATTTTTACGGATTTCACTTGAACAAAAAATTTACTATGCCAAAATTGATTTCACAAAAAAAAAGACTTAATGGGTCATAAGTCAATTTCCTTGTATCTTCTACGGTTTCGGATTTCCCCATACTGTCCCATTTAATAAAAAAAACACTATAATTTCAAAACATTACATAGGCTCAGAATATCATAATTTTGGGCCAAAAAGCATAATGAATTGTCTTGTTTAATTATATTTTGTATCTACCCGAACGAAAAGAAATACTCACAGTTTAGCCTGCTGCACAGCAAATCGAATAAGCGTGCTTTTGAACACGTTTTTTATATCCAGCATTTTCGGGTCTGGTTGCCTGCGGCTGTTGCCCGAGTTGGGGCTTATTTTCAGCTGCATGAACTTATCCAGCAGTTGGTCCAGATTGGCCTCTACCACAGAACGCTGAAGGTGATTTAATTTTATGTTAAATATCGTTTATCAGTTTCTTTACAGGCAAAAAGTTAAAAAGGAAGAGGTTCTCAACGAATTGCGAACTTCCTCCTTTTTTGTTGTTGTACTGTTTACAACTGTTACTTGGTAAACTGTGGCACTGTACTGCTACCTAAAAATATATAATCCTCTAAGGTTGTTACTATTTTACAAACATCGAGTATATAACCAAAATAGAAACGAAATGTTATTTCGTTTAATTTTATTTGTTTGAAAACTATTTTGCCAAATTATTACGGTGACAACTGCGCTCTGATTGACCAGCCCGAATTCGAAACAATTGACGGGTGTCGTCAATTGTTTCACTTCAAAACGGCCAGTTTAACTTGAGCTTTACTATAATGGACGAAAATTGAAAAACGACATAATTTGATATTTAATTACCAAGTAATGTGATTCCGTTTGTTTTGTAATTAGATGTTTTGCTGTTTTTTTCCACACTACCGAAAGGAACAGCCCCCCATAGTTAGAGATATTAACTTTATTACAATAAATACAGAATATTTTTGGAATATACGTATACACAGGTCAGTTGTTGGCGCTGTACTATTTCAGCTTTCTAATTTGTTATTTCAGCGCAAACGAGAGTTGATATTTAAAAGTTATATCAGTACCATTCGACTGATGAGTTGCCAAGGATGGATGGCCCTTATTTCGTCTCTATTTCTGGTTATATACTCGATGTTTACAAATAACCTTCACAGTTGCTTGAAAATGAGGGGAGGGTTATTTGTAAACATCGAGTATTAAGTGGAATATTTATTACTTACCTCAGTTCCTTTAGCAATGGCTTCCTCCCAACACTCAACAGAGGAGGCTAGATCCCCTCTCCTCTCTTCGAGAGCCGCGCGGCACTCCCAGTAAGCTGCGTGGTCCGTCGCAGATGGGAACCGCTGTCGGATCGCACGCAGCCAACGGGCACATTGCTCCCAATCGAATCCCTGGGAGTTTTCAAAGGCTTATATTCTACACGTCTTATCATTTAAGTTTGTTTTGTTAAAATATTTGCTATAACATCTGCAGGTGACAGGTAAAGGACATTAACGAGCGTTTGCCAACTACGTCCGACTCAAACCAGGGGGTCTACTCTCGATCTCCGTCCGACATCCGTCCGAAACAATTACTGCCAAATAAGCAATATATAGGGCATAAAAATGGAAGTAAAATAATTTGCTACTTTGTGAAACCGGTGAAGGTGAAATCATAGAATTATTTTCATGATGTCAATTTTACCATCCACCCTCCCAGTGTGTGTGTTCACCGGCGACCGCGCACACATACAAGCCGTGCTATTACTTTGTACAGAGTTAACATGCTTCTCTTATTTTACTATGATTTAATCTTCCCTGAGTTCGCGGAGTAGCACTTGCAATTTGTTACTACTTATGTACTACCATTTTTATTAACATGGATAACGCTTGAATCTATTAACCATTAAAAATACTTTTACTCTTAAACACAAAAGAAGTTAATTTTAAATTCCATACCTCTTCCTTAACATCACAACTTGAAATAATCTGCAAAAGTTGAAACATTCTCAAAGGTATGCAAGTAAATATTTCAAAATGCAAGTTAATCAGAATCTTACCTCTCTAAGCAACTCGGTCAGATCACCCAGCGCTCCTAAAAGCAGGTCATCGACATGATGAACAGCTTCCGTAGAAGTCAAGGTGGTGTCACGTGTGTCGTTAAAGTCTACACTATCTGAGATACTAGCACATCTCCAGTTGTTATCGAAAACTTGCTTATCATTGGGTAAATCATTGCATTGACTCTGAAATTTAATTATTAATTATTGTTATGCATTCAGATGCTTTTTGTTAAGCCTTGATGCAAATCATCGAATACATAACCAGAAATAGAGCCGAACTGTCATTTAATTTGTTTGAAAACTATTCTGCCAAATAATTACAACTGCGGTCCGATTGGCCAGCCCGAATTCGAATCGACCAGTTTAACTTGAGCTTTGTTATAATGGACGAAAATTGAAAAATTACAAATTTAATTACCGATTTAACGCGATTCCGTTTGTTTAGTAATTAGATGTTTTGCTATTTTTCCCACACCACCGAATGGAACAGCCCCCATTGTTAGAGATATTATCTTTATTACAATAAATACAGAATATTTTTGGAATATACGGAGACGTACACACAGGTCAGTTGTTGGCGCCCTGTACCGTTTCAGTTTTCTAATTTGTGATTTCAGTGCAAACGAGAGTTGATATTTAAAAGTGATATAAGGCTCATTTACCCAACGAGTTGCCAGGGATGGATGGCTCTTTTTCGTCTCTGTTTCTGGTTGTATACTCATGACGCAAATACAGGAGAGGTGTAAAACGCTTATCGATGCCTTACTCAAACTCGTATCTTATAAAGAGTGATTATACAGGAGATGACAAAGCTTTCTATTTATTTTGATTTTCTTATCAAGGGTGTTAATTTGGATCTATTACTTTAAGAATAGGTGTGTGTGAATATGAAGGAAATGTGATGTGAAATCATCCTGCAAAATTTGTATATACAATCTATTTTTTGCATTTCAATAACTTTGTGCTTTAAGATACGATTTTGAGGAAGTAAGGCGACGTTATTAGACTGCGATTCCACCTGAGATGTGCAAGGTAGCTAGGCGGTGTGCGAGTAAAATATCCACCCATAGGATTTTCTTCATTTTTATACCCTTGCTGAGCGCAGGTCCGGTGGAAAAGTGTCTGTACGTACAATAAAGCGAGAGACGCGAGCGAATAATGAGTGCGAGATAGAAGTTGCCTCCGCTCACTCCACCACTGATCCGCCACTCATCCTCGCACTGCTCACTTACACACCGTTTCGCTACGCATCCCAACACCGCCTAACTACCTCGCACAGCTTTTGTGGAAACCATCATATCGTTTCCCAGCGCCGCTATATATCCTCGCAAATCTCTGGTGGAACCGCCGCCTAACACTAATCTATTTCAAGGGACACTAAGTCTTACTTAAGAAGAGTAGGAGGTACACTCTTTCCAACAAGAAAATAATCACCAAAAGCAGTTCACAAATGCCGGAGTCATCCCAGGACTATATTACTAACATCATAAACAACAACTTTTGTTCCAAGACTGTTAGTAATTCGTCACATTTTACTTTCATATAAAAATAAATATATTATTTAAATAGTTCTCTCCATTGACTTACAAATAAATGGACGACGGGTCTAATACAAAAACCACGAAAAAAATGTCCCAAGTCAACCTATTCGAAATTTAAATTGTACTGTCATCGCAGTATCGCGCTGTCAGTAGAACAAATGAAGACTAAAGCGGAGTTTGGCGCTCCGTATACGATTTTAGCGCCTTACAAGTGCGGACACTTTTTAGCGCGGACCCGACGTCCATATAATTGTAAGTCAATGGTTCTCTCGGTCAACGGTAATAACTCTGTGCAGGACGGGGGTGCGAAACGATGCGGAGGACGTTTACACGTTTTGAATTTACCTTACAAAAAAATGTCAGATAGTGCAACAAAAACTTGAAAGTTTATTTTTGGTAAATTTATTATGCCAGGCTTGGGGTTCCTCTGATGGACCGAATCCCTAACGAGCTCATACGTCAGAGAACTAAAGTGACCTACATAGCTCGCAAAATCAGTAAGCTTTAAGTGGCAGTGGGTCGGGCATATCTGCAGGACGGTTGATCGCCGATGGAGCAGACTTGTTCTGGAATGGCGACCACGTCAAGGAAAACGTAGTGTGGGCAGGGCGTTTCACGGCAAGATGGACGGACGACCTGAGCAAGGTGGCCGGCAGTGGCTGGATGCGGGCGGCATAAGGAGGTTTATGTCCAGCAGTGGATGGGTGTAAGCTGATGATGATGAAATTTATTGTTTTGTAAAAGGTCATGGAATAAAAGTTGTTGTTTATGACTTTAGTAATATAGTCCTGCGAGATTTTTAGCGTTTTATGATCATGTAGACTTAATGAATAAAATATCTTAACAGGGCATTAGAAAGGAGAAAACAGAGAATGTAGATTCTGCCACGAGGCGGATGTAACTCCTGTGCATTTCCTCACTCACTGCTGCCCTCTAAAGGGCGTACGAAGTTCAATACTGGGTAGGCACAGGCCACACCCAGAAGACATATAAACTGTAGGAGCCAGGAAAGTCCTTCAGTTCTTTAATGCTGTTAGCCTTGGCTCTGAACAATTAGTGGTGATCACAATAGATCAGCCAATGGTCGCAGTGACGAGTGACGCCACCCTAATAATAATAATGAATAAACAAAATTTATTACTTTACCTGTTCATTCATAATATCTGTAAAAGACTCATTATCACTGTCCGATTCTAATGGAACATTTTCTTTATCTTCATCCTCTTCAATGAAATCCGGGTCAAACTTTTCTTGCTCAAGATTCAAAGGTTTCATTTGTTGCTGAGCCATATGATGTATACCGAAACATTGCAAATGATGGTATGAGTCTAGAGATTTTCCACGTTTCTGTAACCAACTTTGGAGTCTCTTTTGTAGCTCTTCTGGTTTTGGCGTATTGAAGTTAAACGATGTTGCAAATTTAACCTTCTTACGTTCACTTTTAATCGCTGACACAATTTTATCTTCTTTGACAGAAGCGTCTTCATTGATTTCTTGTAAATGAGCTTTATCGAGCTTCTCCCCTATAGATGACCATTTGTGGATGCAATTTTTCAATTCAGCAGAACTAATACGCTTGAAATGTACAGCTGATATTGACCGTCTAACAGGTGGCTCAACTTTCTTGGGTTCAAACAATGTGTGACGCTTGTTCAGAATCAAACTAGAGGTCCTTATTACCTTCTTAAGGTAATTTGGATCGGTTTTAAGCTTATCTGTGTCTGAAATCTGTGGTTTTTGAGTTATTTTCGGTTGGTACAGTCGTTCAAATACAGATTGACGATTTGGGTTTACTTTAGATGTGCTCTGTACGACCGGTAGCATGCTCTTACGGGTATTTGAAAAGCTTTTGCGTGTGTCAGCTTTCGGTGGTTGTGATACTGTCATTTTAGGTGGCATCATACTTTTTCTCAGTGTAACATTTGTGTGATTCTGTGTTTTATTATCACCTTGACCATTTGTCACTTTACTGTCAACTTTATTATTCTGTTTTACATGTTTCGTTGTTCTGTCTGCAGTAGAAGACGTTGATGCAACAGATTTTTCATGATTGCTGCACATTTTTGCTATATTTGCTATGTTGGCGGCAATTTTATTGGTCTTGGGTGCTTCAGCTTTTTTTAAAACAGGTTTATCAATTTTCTGAACAATTTTTGAATCATTTTTTACATGTGTGGTTATACTTTTGGGTCTAGAAAGTTCTTTGATACGATCTGATTCATGTTTTCTTTCATTAGCAGTAGGAGCTGTGATAGGTTTTTTGGTTGTTCCATTGACATAAAAATTGTTTTTAACATGTACTCTGTTTTTTACCAAGCTGGTTTTCTTTATTTCAGTCGTGATTCGATTTGCAACAGATGTAGAATTTAGGAACGATGTGGATGGTTCATTTTTAGTATACTTTTTTAGATTTAGCTCTCTTAACTGTAAAAATAAAAGAAAAATTCTGTTCTCAAATTGCCTGGAAGACATTGCTACTCAATAATAAGGCCGCTTGTTGTAAATAAGGCAGCACTCAAGCTACACAGTGACGGATCCTGTTCAGTTGCACAAGAGCTTGAAGCTGCTGGACTATACATTATACTTACTCTGTGATACATTATTGTTTTGTGTTGTAATTGTAATTTTTATTGTGCAATAAAGAATAAATGAATGAAATACATTCAATAAATGGAATTTACCATATTGAAATGTCAAAGTATGTCATGTCCTATTTAAATTATATGTATGTATTATTTTTTCACATATACAATTTAAAAAATTCGAGTGAATTTCACTTATGCCCTCGTCATATTATAACTGCATATAATATTATTATATGCAGTTATAATTTTTTTTTCTAAGTTAAAAAAGAGTAATAAGCTATTTTTAAAAATGGCTGATTAAAATACCTACAATGTAAGTTCTGCATAGAACATGTGGTTATGTATTTATAACATAAATAAACTACTTCACATCAAATGAATATTTTAATTATTCTTTTTATCAGACAAAACTTAAAAAAATAATATATATGTACTTAAATATATGTGCTTAAGTATAATAAAAAAATTTAAGCACATTTATCTACAAATGTAGACTTTGCTACTTGTGCCTTTTTCTTCCAAAGGCAGAATTGTAGTTAGTGAGCTGATGAGCATGAAATAATTTAATATCGCACACCTCCTAGCCCCGCACTACGGAAAACCCTGTATTGCGACATTGACACACACACAAATTACACCAAAATTCACAAGAGAAATATATGTAGGTAAAATTTAGAATCAAACCTGGGTACTCTGCATGGCAGTTTAGCATGGTAACCGTTCGGCCATGGAGACAGTAGGTAATAATTATAAAACAGTACATTTAAAAGTTCTAATTAGTTTGTTTTAGAAAACAAAGCTTGTATACAAATAGACATGTACATTTAAGCATACAAACATATGGAAGGTACCACAGAATAATTAATACTGTAGAAGTGGTGAGTTAGCATCCGTTGAGTGCCAGCTATAGGTCTCGTAAGATTTTCCACTTCCACCATTTTTGCTTTGTATGGTATGGTTGTGTCGTCTTTTTGTCCAAATTCTTTAGATTCGTAGAAAAATGTCTTATTGTGCTGTTTTGGAGTGCATAGTGTAAAATTAGCCACACCAAAAATATTACTCATGGTGGTATTTCATATCATAGTAGTCTTATTTTAATCAATTTTCTGTTTATTGAAACATTTTTTTTGTTACAAGAAATGAAAGTAAAGCTTATACCCCATTTATACTTTTGCAATATGGTCGCTTCTTTTTTGGAGAACTAAATTAATAACTCCAATTAATTGTCATTCACCAATTAACCGCTAGATGGTACCACATTGGCACACCCTACACACAATTTCCGACAGAGAACACAGGCGGAGACTGTAAAACAGCACTATGCTGAGGCTTTATCCTTTTCATCACTCATAGCCATTGACTTACAAATAAATCGACAACGGGTCTAATACGAAAACCACGAAAAAAATGTCCCAAGTCAACCTATTTAAACGTAGTGACATGTAAAGGAATATGAAAAAGCTAAAACGTTAGATTTAAATTGTAATGTCATCGCAGTACTGTCTAATTTTGCTTGCCTCTGTATACGATTTTAACGCCCTATAAGTTCGGACACTTTTTAGCGCGGACCCGACGTCCATATAATTGTAAGTCAATGCTCATAGCTCATAATTTATTTGTACATAATATCGTGTGATGTTTTATATATGTGTGGGTGTGTTTGATGAACAAAGTCCTATTTAATTTAATTGAATGAAATTTCAATATAATATCAAAATTTTGTAACTCATAATAATAGGTGTTGATCTTTCAACAATATGCCAACAGGGTAAAGTTTAAATTATACTAACAATCCAGAATTTCTTATTTCTTTTTAAATTTGAAACTATGACCAATCAGTATCAAGATTTTGTAGTATTTCAAATTAGGTGTGGTCACAATGGTATTTAGACTTTGAATGAACAAGTTCCAATGTGACATTTACTAATGCATTGTTGACTTCAGTCATACTAGAATTGTTCCGTAGATAAAAGTATATGCTGGAAATATCATGAATGGTACTCGGTTAGATATAATACAAAATTTTACCTTATCAAGCCGTGCTTTCTCCCTAGCAACACGTTCTTCTCTCAGCCTGTTCAACCGTTCTTGTATCGACTCCATTTTTTATCTTAATTTGTACAATTTTCTTATAGGACTGAAAAATACAATGTCAAATTTCAGTTACTACAATAGACACGTTTAGTGGCTGACATTGAAATCACATTAGATGCTGTTAAAATTCAATGAGAAATTAGCATAAACTATAGCTTGTAGACGCAAAATTGACGTAAAAAACAGTGAATATTTTACAAGTTTTAACAAAACAATAACGGCGAATTCTTATATACAGAGCATGAAAACATAGTGATAACGTATTCCAATAAAAAGTTTGGGTAAATTATCACGACAAAAACAGAGAATTACCAGAAAATTGGAATCGCCTAAGAGATATATACAAATTAGAATTACACACAAATTAACTATATTAAATCACTTATTCACACAATACATATATTTGGCCAGCAATTTTACATCGAGAAAATGTTTAATACGAACAAAAGCACTATTTTTAGGGCGAATTAATCAAACAATCGTTAAACGTTTCGGTGTCCGACAAACAAAACGAATGACGGTTGAAAAACCGCCATTTCAAAATCAAACTTGACGTTCTTTGACTATGATGCGTTCATAAATATATTATGTCACAAAAGTGCATTGAGATAAATATCCAAAATTAAAACTATTTTTACAATTTATTAGATTGATTTCATTGGTCGTGATATGAGAGTCATGTAATTCGTGGTAATATTTCTCAATAGCTCAGTGGAATACATCACCATTTATCTATATCATTACAGACATTCGAAATAAACCATCATATCATCCGTTTATAAAGAATTTGGTAGAAATAAATCTTCTGGTAGTGGCAATAACGCAAAATCAAGTTAGCCAACAGAACGAGGTTATGTCATTCAGTTCAGTCCGTCATATTGGCAGTACTGCAAGTGTTAATGCCCGGGCGGTCACGAGTGCGACAGGGTTGTAATTTCAAGTTATTTCTGAATTAAATTGTGATTAATCTTTAATTGTAACCGATTCAGGTGAGTTGTGTTTATAATTAACTTTATTTTGTGTGATTTCATTTTTTTCTAGGGATGTAAAAGTGTATACGCGTGTTACAAGTAAAAAATAAAGTTGCCGTACCGGGTGTCGCGAAAACGAAAGATTTTTGCAGAACAGGTTTCTGTGATGCGGTTTTTTTAACTTTTTTTCTGTTTTAGCCGTAGCCCTGTATGTTAACTGCCTTAAATTAAATTTCCTACGGATATTAATCGTTCTAGTCTTTGAATTGCATTTTTGAAAAGTTTTTCGGAGATAATTGTTTTGAGAATTCACTTTTTTATAGATATTCGTAACAACTACATATTTTGTTTTTGTAATTCTTACGTAACTTAATAGATATTTAACTCTGTCTCTGGAAAACGAAAAATTAAATTGAAGGTATTTATAAAACAGAACATCGATAAATACAAAATTCCACCACAAGTATATTAGCTGATAAGTACAGTCGGCGTCGTAATTCCGTGGTCCATATTTCTATGGATTAAACATTTAATAAAGATTCTGTGTATTTACGTACGTATCTTTAAGTACTTAAACAATTCAGTATACCAAATTATCGACACAAATACCTATATGAAATTGTATTTACATGATTTATATTCAGTCCATAATGTCCCGATTAACGATCACGGAAACTTATCTTAGTTTCTTTTTAATGATTCTGTAATTGTAGAAACAATTAAGATATTATGAAAAACACTCGGTTGAACGACTTTACTTAGTTGACTATTTTCTTTATGACGAACAGATCATGCGCCTGGTGGAAAGAGACACGCCTGTCCATAACAGTTTTAAAGCCGCTCAGAGCTTATAAATTTTAAATCCCACCGCTAGAGCTTGTGAAAGAGTTCCTCCAGGGAAGTACTGCCACCTTACCTATTTCTGCCGATGCGGCAATGTGAGCATTTCTGTATTCCGGTTTTAGAGGGTAAGGTTGCTGGTGAAATTACAGCCACATGGGACTTGTCAACTTACGTCTCAAGGTGGCGAGATCAGCGGCAGTGCCCCTCAAATCTTGGCGATTTAAAGTTCTGAGTCCACTGAGGCACTGCAACCGCTGAGTCATGGACCCGATTACTATTTCTATACGGTTTAATATACGTTTACGTTGTAAAACTCAACCACATATTTACTTAGCATATAAACACTAAATGAAAGTAACATGTACACGATAGCCTTGGTCTGTAATCGCATTGTCAACAAACTTGTTTTCTTAATGTTATCTTTGGGGTTTTATTGCAAGCAATTATGCTCGCTAATTTCTAAAAATAAGGTTTAATTTACGTATTCGTCATCAGCGGGTTGAATTAATGCACATTGGTGTTCTCAATAGAATGAAATGTTTAGTTTTTTAATAGCAGTAGAGCTCTTTGTGAAAGAGAAGTACTGCCTCGGTTTGAAGGTCGAGGGCGCGTCGTATAATCGTGCAATTTAAAGTGTCGTGGCTTGCATATTTCAATGAGTTGTTCACATAAAGTACAACACGATTAATTCTTGTTCACGACTTTTTTGATGTTACGACGACAGACTGTCGTGACAATGGGAAGTACTAGAATAGATAAAAGCAGCGTCAAACAATTCTGTCGTGTCAATTAATAACGACACGATCTAGTCGGAACAGCTAGACACAATAGTCGTTTAACGATAAAATAAACGTCCACGACTTAGTCACAGTAGCAGATAGTCGTGATACGGGAACAGGCTAGACGCGACAGTCGTCCAACGATAAATAAAATGTTACGACAATGGGAGCACGCCCAAAGGCTCAACTCACACTGGCGCAGAGTCGAAGCGTCGCGACGCGTCCTGTTTTTCGCCTATAGCATATTCATTTCTATTTTCCCATTATTTAGGTACAAATTTGTGTTATGCAAATATGGAATTGCGCGTCGACGCGCCTTGGTTAATGTCGAGTTTCTCGCATGTGCGTTACTTGCGCGCAGTGAATGTTCAAAAGTCTCTGAATTGGTGCAGCACTGTGATCCGGGCGCACTAATGCGAGGGTCGTCTCGTAACGACTCGTGTCTCTTTGCGTTGTAGTTGAAAAACAGGACGCGACGCTTTGACTGTGCGCCAGTGTGAGTTGAGCATAAGGGTGCTGGTGTGACTGTAGGCACATGAGACTTGTTAACTTTGCAGCCATGCCTTAACGAAATGGTAAGGCAGAAGGTTCGTTCCACATAATTTATTTTACAAGAGGAAATGAAATGGCCCAAAGGGCCTATACACCTATATAATTTTATAGTAAACAACGTGAAGTTTCTAAACTCGCACACAATGACTGTCACAAGAAATGAGAGTGATGGTTTATGGGCACGTCCTTTCGTTTCAAGAATGTTCACGGGAGAGATGACAGAACGAAGTAATGTATGAATGAAAATTTTAAAAGAGGCCACAGCAGCGAGGCGTGAAAATTTTCCTTGGTAAAGCCGAAGCTTCAAGTTTTCAAAAAACAAAAAAAACACTTACTTTTGCAAAAATTCCTTTTTCTGTTAAAAAGGCGCTTGTCGACATTTAAACACAACACTTATTAGGACACAAGTAACTAGGTCACTTGAATTCAGAGGTATGCTTAGTCTACACATAAAATAACCATAGCTTATAGAGTAATTTTACATTTTAAGATGCCCGTAATGATACGAAAGTTTGTAAACAAACTCATGAATGCTAAGTGTTGCTATTTTAATTACCATGACCTTTTACATACATTCTTTAAGTAGTCCTATTAGATAGAAACACCCAATTATATATAGATACGTTTGTAACACTATTTATCGTTAAGATTTACAAAATAGAAATTAAGCATATTTGCTATTAATTTGCTATTATAATAATTTTGTTACATTATTTTAAGAAAGTTCTGCGTACGGCAACGATTCTAACATTAAAATAAATTAAATTATAATTTGTTGGAATAAGGTTTAAATTTAAGTGAACGCTATTCGACAATAACTCGAATTATTGCGGCTTCTCGTCCACCATTTCTTTCGATGTTTTATACCGGATTTTTGCGAATGTGTGCGTATATTTTGATGAGAGCGCGTAGATTTCATGAATGAAATAGAATTCGCAGATCCACCAGCTTACCTCGCGCTGATTGGTCGAGGTGCTTCGGGACAAGTTCGCGTTTAATAATGAATATTTTGAATAAATGTTTTTTAAGTGGTGGGGTACGCGCGCTGCCTCTGGTAATAGGTGCGCGGAATATTTTAGGCAAGCCGGTGGGAATCGAGTTATGTGGACGCTTCGCCACTGGGAGGCCAGGAACCGGAAATGAGAATGATGAAAAGGTGGAATGAAGGTGGTCAGCATCGTCACAACTTTATATTTCAAGCTCTGTGTAGCTGCAACTGTTATGCGTGAAAGACGAGGGTCGTATTCCAGAACTCTACTCAATACTCAAGTCAGGACTTGAGTATTGCAGTGAGCACTGAAAATCATACTCAAGGCCTTGCCATTAGGGTCGTATTTCCAGTGCTTGAAATCATACTCAAGTCTGCTCAAATCCTGGCTTGAGCATTGAGTAGAGTTCTGGAATACGACCCTGAGAGCGGGTGCGCCTCGGGCGCGTATCATGTCGGGACCGCGGCGGGTTTAATTCCGTGTACTTATATCACATTTCAAACAACACATCGAAAGCAGGCGCGAGACGGGCGCACGCGTCCGCGCTCGGTGTGTTGTCGTCCATATAAACACACGGAATTAGACCCGCCGCGGTCCCGACCCGAGTTGCACTCGACTCGCACCCGCTCTCTGTATGTTTCACAATTTTTGGGTTGGTCTCTCGCTTACCACGTGATGGGTGACATGCCTGTTCGTAATAATTGCAGTGCCACTCAGAGCTTTAAATTGCAAAGACCTGAGGGGCACTGCCACTGCGCCCGTCACCCTGAGACATAAGTTGACAAGTCCCACGTGTCTGTAATTTCACCAGCACCCTTTATCCTTCAAAACCGAACCGCAGTAATTCTCACATTACTGCTTGACAGCAGAAATAGGTAAGGTGGCAGTACTTCTCTGGACGTACTCTTTCATATGGAGCTCTACTGCTAGTATGTGTGGGAACTACAGTGTAAACCCTCCCATTGTGAGAGGAAACCTGTGACCGGCAGTGAGACTATATAGGCTAACTATTATTATTTCGACGACTTCTGTGGTTCAACGGTTTGTAATGTGGACACTGGATGAGTAGTAGTACAGTTTCCCGCGGTAGGGCCAATTTAGGAAATGATATTTTTAACCGACTTCAAAAAAGGCGGAGGATCTCAATTCGATAGCATTTTTCGACTGCTTTTTGTACACTCTAGAACACGTCAAGCTTGACACTTTATACTTTGGACCGTTTTTATAGTAAGCGGCATAGAGTTGGATTTAAGTCTTAAGTCGAGCTTGGCGTGCCCTTTGACCCTATACATACAAGAACAAAAAAAATCTTATCGCGTATGTTACGCGACAACTCTGGCATTTGTGAATCGATTTTGATTCTTTTTTTGCTGGAAAGAGAGTACTTTAGTATTGGGCCTATTTAAATTTGAAGAGAATATTCCACCTCTAAGGTTGGCAAACTGGGGGAAGAATGACTTTTGAGGTCGTTCCATTTTGGCAAACTATGATTTAAACATTTCCTTTACATTTAGTTTCTTAAATAAGTTAAATAAAGTTTTTAGTTTAATATAAGCATCAGAAGAAAGAAATTAAATTCATTTATTTGCACACCACAAATGACACCACACAAAAAATAAATAAAATAAACAAGTAAATCTAAAAATCAAAAGAAATAAACAACACAATGAAAATAAAATAAAATCATGCGAATATTGTGCAATATCTCGTAGTACCCTATAGTAGTCAGGCAATTGGTGTGATAGTCTGGCAAATTACCATTTGTGTTATAAGTAACGTAGAAAACCGACTAAAGCACTGTTACTTGACTCATGTTTACGTGTAAACAAAGCTTGCAACTCGTGTTAAATGAACA